AAAAGTATGGCTAATGTGTGGTTAAAGGATGTCAGCCGGGAAAAGCAAAAGATTTGGAAACAACACAAACCAAAAAAATTGGAAAGGTAGAAAAGTAGTAAATAATTTTGATGTTTGCTCTGATTGTAAAAGTGTTCATGTTTGTGGGTTCAAATATCTGATCTGAGGTTGACAAAGATTTAAAGATGAAACCTGAACGCATGGTCTCAGCCAGTTTAATTATATGAATCTGACACCTTTTTCAAATTTTAAGTTTCACAACAGTTAGTGTAAGTTTTCTCCGTGTCTGTCTTTTGGCACAGGTGGTGTGTCGCGCTTGTTCCAGGAACCGTTACCCACTCAGGTACCTCAAAGACAGAGTGGTTAAAGTTTGTGACCGCTGTTACAGCGAGCTCAGAAAAAGAGGTGAATCTTAACTTTGGTGAAGAAGAAACAAAAGACTTTTTTACTCTCTTTAATTCTGTATAAACTTTGAATATGTCTGCAGGTGGAAGCGTGAGCAGCACTTGTGAGAACTCCAGCCCTCGGACCCTTCGGTCCAATCGTCCTCTCTCTGCTGTCTTCCAGAGCCTGCAGACCCCGACTCTGTGGAAGAGCCGTAAGAGCACATCCTCTCTCAATCAGGTAAAGCAAGATTTTTAATTTCCTTAGGTACCATTCATAGGACAGACAAAGTAGTTTGAGAACTGCTGATTTTAGTGAATTGGGTTCCCTGCAGTATAGTAGAAGAAATTACTTAAATTCCACAGACAAAAATATTTTCCCTGACCGGGAATCGAACCCGGGCCGCGGCGGTGAGAGCGCCGAATCCTAACCACTAGACTACCAGGGACATAGGACAATATTTCCCCTGCCCGGGAATCGACCCCGGTCCGCGGCGGTGAGAGCGCCGAATCCTAACCACTAGACTACCAGGGACATAGGACACAAGTCTTAAGCTGGTTGCTGGAATTTCACTCATGCCACCTGTTTATTGGATGATATTTATGTCTTGTCATACACCGCAGTTGCCGCTAGGGTTCGCTGTTTGCCGTCACACCATTTGGGCCCCGCAGTGAATCCCTTATCTGTGAAATCAGTCTTGTGTTTTTCTATGTATCTGCGCACTCTGTGTTATGACATTACTAATATTTTTATATTTTTTTATCAGGTGTCACTGGCCGTGGAGGGCTCCACCATGAGTGGCAGCCTGCAGCGACGCAAGAAGAGCAAGAGGAAGTGGAAGCGCCTGTGGTTCCTTCTCAAAGACAAGGTGCTCTACACCTTCACAGCCCGTGAGGTGAGGGGGCACAGAGTCTCCCACACCAGCCCCAGGACAAACCAGCTCTGAGGCTTTTCTCCACAGAAACCTCCCCCACTGTCTCACTGTCTAATCTGTGTTTCTCCACTGTTCAGTTTATACACCAGGACTGAACACTGCAGTATTGTCACAGAGTTACAAGACACTGAAAATATGTTAGTGGTTCAAGACCAACTGTATAAACCTATCTAACAGTCCCTGGTAGTCTAGTGGTTAGGATTCGGCGCTCTCACCGCCGCGGCCCGGGTTCGATTCCCGGTCAGGGAACTTTGACTTTTAGGCACAGTGGTTAAGGAAGCGAACTTGGGTCCAGAAGGCTTAAGGTTCGAGTCCACTAGCTGCCAAGTTATCACTGAAGTGCTCTGAGCATGGCACGGTCCACACACACTGCTCCCACTGTTCACCTTGGTGATGGGTTAAAAACAGAGGTCACATTTGGTTGTGTTTTTCTCTTTAAAACCATAACCTCTAAAAATATGTAATTTTACCTTAAAGTGGTAATAGTTTATGGTCTACTGGTCTCTCTCTAGCATATAGACGTGGTCAGGACGGGGTTACGTCACACAACCTACTGATCTGTGAAGTAATTTCATTTTAAAATGTATTCCACAAACTGAAAACTTTACAACTACCTTTGCTTTAAACATTTACAAAGTACTGCAATATACAGAAAACCTTTATTCCTGGATTTATTGACAGCACTCCCACAATGTGGAAATTCACAGTGCGAGTCTTGCTTTGGCTGCCACAGGTGGCGCTATTAAATACATGGGTCCTCTGGGGCTCAAACCCAGGACCTTCTGAAGCAGGCGTGATAACCACTACACTATAGAAGCTCACAAAAAAACTGCACATTTATACCAATACCATGCATAATATATGAATAATAATAATAAACTGGTGAGTTAGCTTCCCATCTCAGGCTAGTCTCTGTCTCTAACACCGACTATATCACAAAACCTTAACAAAACTCATCTCTGTGCTCTCTCTGTTCCTTTTGCCTGTTACACAACACTATGTATCATCTTTTTGTTCTTTTCTTAGCTGTTTTAAGCCTTTTTTTTACTCTTAATTTAAAACATGCTTTATCCTGTTTTGGTTTTGTTTTTGTTTCAGGACAAAGTGGCTTCAGAGAGTCTGCCTCTGCAGGGCTTCACTGTCAAACTGACTGAGAGAGCAGAGAGTGAGGACAGCAGTAACGTCTTCCACCTTTACCACAAGAAGACACTGTTCTACACCTTCAGGGCTGACGATCAACACACTGCACAGAGGTGAGGAGGAGGATATTGATGTGTTTAATAACGAAAAATAATAGTTTAACCTGTTGAGTTTGGGTTTAGTTACTGTATAAAACTTTGTAACAAATTCTGGGCCGGGGGTGGGAGAGAAGCTAGGACAAAGTCCATTAGTCAATACAAGTGTTATGCAAGTGTTATTTTTTGGTACAAGACCTAAAAGAATACTGTTAAAAACTGATGTAGCTTCTCAAAGATACAAAATTACATTTTCCTAAACTTAAATCAATGTTAAATTGGCCTGGATAGGAGCCCTGTTTAGTAGGTGTTACGATAGTATTTTATTATGTGTCACGACACAATATGTCATGTGACAAAAGCCTTAGCTTAGC